TTCGAATCTAAGCATACGAATTACACTTGGAAGACCAGCCACACATACACACACACACACACACACAGAAATCTCTAACATTATGACTCATGGTGTTTAAATTCAAGGGAGCGATAAATGTCTATTTTCCCCTAGTATAGGACTCCTCGGTAGATGTGCAACGACGACTTCACCACAGTAGGGATCGAATCCAGGAAGTTCAGGTTCCGTGACCAGCACGTTACCAATGAGCTAGCCACTGTGTTGTAATCCAGTGGTTCATACTTCCAACTTCCATCGGTTCACGACTTAGTGCAGCCTTCACTCAATGTCATCGTTGAGTATTTGTCCTCACGTCCATCAGGTTTGCCCCACTACTTGCGACTTCACACTGGAAATTCAGGAATCACCTCTCGAAGCTAGTCAGTCACCAATAAACACTTCATCAATTCAATTTGGGGATTCGTGGAGATTTACTGGTTTCAAGTAGGTATTCATCATGGACTGACATCAGTTGGAGGAGGTCGTGGTTTCGATCCCTGGTGGGGTCAATGATGTGTGTCGATCGATGAGTCTCATCCTAGGAGGACATAGCTGTCCAATGCTCCCAGGTTTCCAATGTTCCTCCAAATAACGTCAGTCTATGATGAATACCAACATTATCATTTACGCCTATCATTTTGTACTTGTGAACTTCATTTTAATCAGCCATCATAATCTCTCCGACCGATTTCTTGTATGAACTGGTTATCTTCGTTTAGTTAGTGAGCTCATATGTGGAGTGAGATCTCGGTTTTGATATAAATGGATGATTTCGTTTCTGCTTGTCAGATGATTTTTACCACCGAAGCACTACAGCTAAACGTATTCTGGTTATATTCTCTACTCACTCATAGTACCACATATATATATGATAAACCCTGATAATTTTGTTATGGACTCTTCAGGCTTGTACATCAATTTGAGTGGAGTCAAGCAATCGGCATTTTATATTTGACAAGTGTTGTTACATGTGAACTGTTAAAGAAATCAAACGGTATGTATCCACATGGTACTTGTGAGGAGGAAAATGAGAATAAATTGTTTTCAGGCTCTATTGAGTAGAAGAAATGATGACTTAGTGAAGTGGGAGTTAGCATGAGAATATCACATCTGCAAATCACTACACACCTAGTTTTCGTTTATTTCCCATTAGCTATGAAAGAAAATCAGGTAAATGTTTATAAGTTAGGCCAGAAGAATCTTTTCTAGTCTTTTAATACAAAGGAAGCTAGAATATATATTCCGAACACTTTTCACTTAGTGCATAGATAGAACGAAGCGAAACTCTAAACAAGAAACAGACCGAATGGAGCAAAAATTCAGTGAGAATGTACCTAGTAAGGTTGCATAGTGGAGATTCTGTAGAGCCATCAAGAGAACTGTCTAAACTGGTAATTTACTTACGGTCGGCTAATCTTGGCTATTTGGGAGAAAGATAAGTTGTCCAGCCTTTCCAGTCTTGTGTTTTGGTGCTGAGTGATGACTGAAGGTGGAATGAGAACTTGGGTCGCTACTGGATTCTCTGGATTCGAACCAATGGCCATGGTGAAACCACCCTGAGGCCCCATGAATCGAGATTCAAATCTTTGCCACGACCCAGGTTTCATTTTACCTTCAGTCATCACCCAGAATCACTAACAGGCCTGTCAAACCATGGCTATCCCAGAAAGTTTCATTGATAATTCTGGATTGGTCCACAGATCAGGCTGATCATGAGGAGAAAGCAATATCAGACATACTTCTGGGCAAATTAACGAAGGCCTTGATGACCAACTATCTTCGTGACAGGGAAAATGAAACGTGAAGAGATATGTTGGAGTAACTATAACTTTCTAAACAGAATAGGTATGCTCCATAATAGTTGTGTGTCAGTTTGTCATCATGAAGAAGCTCTTCATAGAGTGATTAAGTGGTGGTGGTGGTGGTGGTGGTGATGGAGGGGGTTATTTCTTGCTGGCTTGTGAAAATTGAGGATGTTTTGTTCACCAGTGATTGATGATCAAGCCTAGTGGTGTATGATGGTAGGCCTCCTTGTCGCATGACTGGATGTCGACCAATGGTTCATCAAGTCGACTTAGTGGAAACCTCAGTGTGAACGAGACCCGTGTGTGCTAGATCAGTGATGTGGTCTCTCATCTCGGACGGTTTCCTTGGCCGTCAGGATTCTGCCCAGTGGACTGGGAGCGTTGCAACCAAAAGGTGAACCCAGCCTACTAATTTCGGTAGTCATTGTTGTTGAGGCAATCCCCAGAGCTAGGTGTTGCTTACCATGCTAAGGTGGGTGGTAATCAGTTCAGAATGTTAGTTTCTTTATCCATGGCATTGGCTGTGTTTCAGTAATACAAAGGAAGCCGCTGCTGAGGTCCACTTGAGAGGACGTCAACAGTATGCTCCACCAGCAGTGTTCATTTTAATGTGGATAGGCTGCTTAAATGCCACCTGCTCGGGGGAGGGAACCGATCCATCATGTTTGTGTTCGAATATCCATAGATCTGAAGACTGGCCTGAAACTTGGAGCTGAGCCAAAAACTGGAGTGGAAAATTAGACACCATGCATTCACATGACAGTGACACGTAACCTTCGGTGACTGAAGGGGAGTTAAGACCAAGCCATTGGCTTAATCCTATCTCGAGGTAGGTTTTCATTTGACCTTCAGTCATCACCCGATGTAAATTTAATCTCTCTTATGATATCTCTGAAATTCTCTAAGGTATCGTGGTACTCGAAGGCATTTGATAGAAACATATGAATTTGGATTTTGAGCTTGTTAACACATGCAGCTAAGGGAAATCCTCTAGCTCTCCGATAAGGTAAAAGCCACACAGTTTTACTGCAGCTCGAAGAGGAAAATAATCTGAACAGATTTTATCTTTTATTGTATTTGTCACACTGAACTTTGTAGTCAACGAGGGTTCATTAGCATGGATGTTAGTGAAGTATTGACACTAGCTGCGCATCTAGTAATTGTGAGAATCGAAAATTGATTATTTTCTACTGAATAAAGTATGTTTTCCCCCACACAGTCTTGCCTGAGTAACTTTAATGGCTGACAGACTATGAAAATCTGTCTTTTGTCACGGATAGGACTATGATTAGTTTATCCATGACCTTCAAAATGTCTACTCGAACAGACAAGTTCTCCATATTGGTTTCTCGCTCAGCCTCCTATCACTTTCACTGTTTTACAAAGATACTTTTGCATACTGAAGGTGTGATGATGGGTTAAGATTTAACATATGGAGCATTGGTGTTCTTCTATGGACCCAGAGATCCTACACATGATTTTAGTTATCAAGTTGATTCCCCAATGATTGCCACAAGAAAACTTCTCTCTCCTCTTTTTGACTGGAATGATCAGTGAAGCAGACAAGTCGGATAGGACTACCTCTGATGCCGATACACTATTTAGTACCCATGTTAGTCTAATCAGTAAGTTCCTACCTCATCCTTAAAATCTTCATGTGGTAGACTATCATTTCCAGCTGCTTTGGATCGTTTCAGTTTCAAAATATCTGACTCAACTTCAAAGAGAGATGGTGGATCGACACTGACTTCCCATTCGCATTGAGACTGGATATTAAGCAACTGAAGCGTTGCTGAGGAGTAGTTGAAATGTGAGTGAAAGTGTTCCACCTAAGGTTGTGGCCGTATTTCCCCTTCACTAGTGGTTTCACTAACCATCGTTTGTTTCTCTTGACGGTATCTTTAATAAGCACAAATAATTGCTGGGTGCTAACCAAAACCGATGTCATCTTCATCTGTCTCACTTTGGCCACCCACTACTGCTCGCAGCCGTTGTGAAGACTTATGGTCAATTCATGCTTGAGTTGCTTACACTCTTTATTGAAGCGAGAGACATCTGAAATCAGTTTGAATGACATCACGGAAATCCAATGAGGTTTGATAACCTTGCAACATCTATCAGTACCATACATCTTATTTGTTATAGAGTTGCAGTTAGCTGAGGAGTGAAATTTGAAATTGCTCACTTTATTCTAATCGAAGATTGTGGAAATCTGGGAAATGTGGTACGCATGAAGTTCGCATCGCCACTTTATATGCAGCTGCCAGAAACTGTATTGATATTAAACTGATGTGCTAGCCTTGTAGTATATGGTGCCACTCTATGGATATTAGCAAAAACACGTTTCACATGACACCAGTGTACAACTTACCTTCATCCGATTATCTATCAGCTGTGTGTTCGTAATGACGACAACTGCTAGCATCAGACTTAACTGTATCAAATGTTAACTTGTTCTTTGATAAGTGGATACACCTATCGACTTGTACTTTGATAGTATCATAGCTCTTTCTAGTCCACTATTGGTTACACAAATTATAAGCTTGTTCTTCCACATGTGCCGATCACGTTTCAGTTGCCATAGATTTTGCATGCTTTTATTCATCACCGTATAAAGGCGTCCATTTTAACTGGTTATATATCAACTAGTAGGAGACCTAAAGTTTCTTCTTCTTTTACTAGCACTGAAAGCTTTTGCCTCAAAATAAATAAGCATGGCATAAAATACTCATGGTTGTTATTACCATTATCATTTGCTTAATTTGATGGCAAAAACTAATGTGCTACCCTATAATAGTCATCTGACGTATACAAGAGAACACACAGCAATCATAGCATAGCATTGCATAGCATAGTCTATCGTCTCAAAGTGACCTACTTGAAAAAACTGCATAGAACATGATGTGAAGGTGTGCCTTAACACTGAAACCTATTCACAAAATCATCATTTTACATAAAAAGCAACTTATTGGCTATAATCTAGCTTCCTTGCTAAGATCGTCTTCATACTGATTCAACATACATGAGGTAATAATACTTGTATTTTGTGCCAAATCCCATATTGTATAGTGTATATATCATTAGTCTATGACATTCCTATTGGTCAGGGTATAATCAATAAATCCGTTGAATAGAACATTAGAATTTTTAATATTCTCTTAATCATGTAAATGTATGAATGACCCTGAAAAAGTGAATCTTGATTATCAAAAGATTTATGGTCAGATAATAAAAATAATTGAAGATATTCATGATTTTAAATTTCAATTGTCATCGTTTTATAAATTTATCAACATTATCACATTAAAACGTGATATTAGATTCCTGGTGAATTTATGTCAAACCGATGAATCATTATTCAAGGCTTCCAGATTGAGTAGTCGACAGTCAGTACAGCTTAAACTTGAATACTGTAAATCTTTGTCTTCAAAACAAGAATATCTCCCTTGTACTATTCAATTAACAGGAGTTAAACACTATCCAACAATCTATAGCACGTTGACTGTTCAAACAGGTGATATATCTAGATGGAGGAAGCTTATGAGTCGAACTAAGCTGTCAACAAGTGAACAGCTGGTATTTAGGGCTAATCAAAGCTTACAAGTACCTGTTACCTCGCATAATATCACATGTGTTATTCATTCAACATGTCAAGAAATTCATATGTTGCAGACTATTCTAGAATACCTTGAAATATTAACTGAACAAGTAATTGGATCAGAGAATCGAAATGTAAACACCATTGACTATAATGATTTAAACAATTTACTGTGTGATAATGTAATACACATTTGTAAAATTATGTCACGTTTAGTTGAATATGTGAGTAGGATTAACAATCGACGATTCATGGATCGAATAATTGTACATTTAAGGCATAAATGCACAGCCAACTTCTTTATATATCTGATTGGTAAAGAAAGAAGTAGGAGAGTTCAATGAAAAAAGGAAAAAAAGAATATCATTTTGTTTGTTTAACTGGTTGATGAAAGTTGAACACATTCAATGTACAATTGGATTTGATATGTTGTAGATAAGAGAATACTCTATACGAGTGTATAATGTTCAATTGTGAGATATGGTAATGTTGCTGAGAAATTATTTAACTCTTGATTTCCATAGTATATCGCAATATCATTTCATGGTTACTATCGATTTGTTCAAAGTTTATTTTTTGATCTCAAGACTGTTAATGAGTAGTTTGATAATACGAGCTTCAAGGTAGACATTACATTTCAAGACCTTTCATTATAAACTACTCAGTTTTATCTGCAGGTTTGTTGAGGTGTAATAATTGATTTTAGGTTGGGATTCATCATTGATTGACATGAGATAGAAGAACATTGGAAACCTGGGAGAAATGGACAACTGTTTCACACTAGTATTTAGTATCCTCTGTAGTGTGCACTCATAATCCCATCCAGCCGAGGGTCGAACGTAGGACCTTCAGGTTCCGAGACCAGCGTGTTATCATTGAGCCAGCCAATGTGTTGGAATCCACTGGTCCATATTTCCCACTTGTATGAGTTCACGATATAACACAACCTACATCCAATGTTGCCATTGATTAACTGACGTCATGTTTGACTTCGTTGACTCTCCTGGTCACGACTTCTCATTGGAACCTCAGGAATTACCTCCTCTCGAGGCTAGTCATCATGGGCGCTAAATTCGTTCTGTCTGGAGGTTTATGGAGGATTATCGATTGATCTTAGGTTGGAATTTATCATCAATTTTAAATGAAGTCTTTCTGGTCAAGGCTTATCATGCTGTGGCTTGAGAAAAGCTGTCCAAGGTTACTTATAAGGGGAGTCAAATAACTAGTTTACTCTCTCCCACCTCAAATATATGGAAAAGCAGTAGGCTTTTTGATCACAAATGATGCCTTCACTACATTTCTTGTTTGTCATACAGTTACAGACTGAATAGTATAAAAGTTAGACATAAAGTTATCTTCTACTTGATTTTTTTGAAGGGTTCTACTTTGATTTATATGTCTCTCTAGCCGTCCACTGGCTCATGTGGCAGAGAAGAGATAAGCTAGATAGTTGAAGAGTATTTATCCTAACCAAACGCGGATATTTCCAGCACAATAATCACACACATAGTAAAGGATCAATTCATAAAACCACTGACTATTGGTTTGGGCTCGATAGGAAGGTGAAGATTATCTGATTGGAGTCCTGAATATGTAAGAAATCGATTGTTGCAAATTCTTTGTAGTGTGTCTGATCACACATGATCATCACATGCATACATTCTTCATTTGCCTGTTCTCTGTCATTGTGATTGATGATTTAAAATAAGGATGGTGATGGTGTTGACTAAAGCAGTTGTAGTATAGATGATGATAATGATGGTAAGGAACAAGAAAGCAGCATGAAAATGTGAACACTCCGATAATAAAAGTGGGTCAAAAGCTTGTGAAGATAAAAGTTGAGTAATACTGAAGGATAAGGTAAGTGGATAAACAAAGTGTAGACAAATACAATAAGTATATGAGAGGTGTGAAGAATAAGAGGAGGGTAGGAGAAAGCTGAATGATAAAGTTATTAAGTAAGTATTAGTTGACCAAGGGAGAGATGAAGGATGTGCAAACTTCTTCTCAATGCAGGACTATGATTACTGGCTGGAATTCCTACAGTTTGTGGTATATGTAGAAGACGAATTCGAATATGTTTGGAAAGATAAGGTGGTATGCAATGAATAATCATGAAAGATCTCTCATATCTCTTATGCAAACAATTAGTTAACCGCAGTTTAATAGACGTCTTCGATAGTGTTCACTTAGTAGATAAGAATAATGCTTTCACGATTGTTCACCGAATGTCACCTCATCTTTCGAAACGTTTTCTAACTCATATTTCACTCTTGCTCTAAGACGAAAATGTATATCAATCTCTTGGAACCAACCCATTCCAAAAATTCTACAACAGATCAACAATCTCTTCAAAGGAGAAGAAGAAACAAAGCTAGACAAATGGAGAATGAAATTGAATGGACGTGTCCTTTCTTGGTTCTACGGCAGAGCAAAACTACACAAACCAGATATCCCTCTACGACCAATAGTCTCACTTCCTTGAACTGCAACGTGCAACATATCAAGAGAACTTTCGAGAAAACCAGAACACCTCGTTCAATCATGTGGACATTCCATGAAGTCGCCAGCGGAATTCTTAGAAAAGATCAAAAGCATTAATATGGAAAACGATGAATTAATGGTATCCTTGAATGTCACAGCACTATACACATGATTGACAAGTGAAGCAGGACAGGCTGTAGGCAAAAGAGTCAGACTTGACAACACTACATCAAATAACCAGAATACTATGTGGGTTGGGGGGTGGTCAACGCAGACAAATGAAAGATGGTGAAGGAAATTTAGTTACCGGCAAAGGGGCGAAACAAAAGAAAAGATGGGGTTACCACTTCAAGAAACTCTTGAATCCAACACCGCCATGTACAACTCTTCCGGAAGTACCACCACCAGCAGACATAGGAGTCCTGAAAGTCATGAAGTTGCTGAAATCCGAGAAGGCGGCACGACTAGATGTAATTCCACCAGAAGCAGTGAAAATAGGCGGAGATACTTGTGGAGACTGCATAAAATTGTGTATAAACCACTTCAACTATAAGCAATATTACCTTTTCATCGTCTCTTTTACACATTCTGTACATTATTCTTAATACTTTTAAAAACGAATGTTGCTGCTGCTAATCGTGGAAATATAATGTGCTTCTAACCATCCCTACTTCTGCCTCCGTAACTATTGCCTGTCGTGCATAATAACTGATTGTCTTGGGAATTTACAGGACTTCTCATCCTACTTCCAAATATTACGACAATCAAGCCGACCGACGACCACAGCGGAGGGACGACAAATATCGCCTTCTGATCCCTGGAATATCTTAAAATTGTGATGGACGACACCGAGGAGATAACCTCCAAGTAACCAGTGATTATCTATAACATTGACAATACTATTAATGTTATGACGTATAACTTTCATACATGTGTATCATAAATTCCATTTTTCATGTAAATTGTACGCAGTTTGTTATTTTGGTTTACTTGACATTCTTTGGGTCCACTACATACTTCAGCGGACACGCCCACACCACTATTGTACAGCCTTTGGAAGGAAGCAAAAGTACCTGTCGACTGAACAGTGACTTATGTCTTTGGAAAAACAAGAACTTTTGCGGAATCATGCTTCTGCCCACCTCAAGCAAAATATTAACCCGCATCATTCTGGAGAGACTAACAGATGCACTGAATGCAAAATTACCACCGGATTAAGCTGGTTGGCTGGTTTCAGGAAGAGCAAATCATGTGCAGATCACACTTCAACGCTAAGCTACACATCATCATAGAACAGAGCATAGAATGGCAGTCAACTCTCTACCTCAACTTCACCGATTTCGAAAAGGCCTTCTAAAGAGTCAATAGCTCTGAGTAATTTGGCAGGCGGCTGCTTCAGCACTACGGTTTCAGTGCCACAAACATTTATCAACCTCAATCAACAGCTATATGCTATGCTATATGAGGATGCTGCACGCCAGTGATTCACAATGGAAATCTCAGTGACGCCTTTGAAGCAAAGTGAAGACAGGTCTAGGACAAGGTTGCCTTCTATCACCGATTATCTTACTCATTGTGATCAACCTGATTGAACTAGATCATTCCACAGACGACTGTGAGGAGCAAGAAGACGGGTGTACGCTGAGTGGACCGATAAAAGACCAACACGATTTAGACTTCCCAACGATGATGACATACTTCTAATGTCTGGTCGCATAAACTCCAAGATCTACAGTAGAAAACCAACAAGTTGGTAGAAGAGGCAAGTCATCGAAGGAAGACGGAACCTCCTTCACGTAACTGCAGAGAAGGCGGAAGTGATGATGATACCCAACCAACAACAACAAGCACCAATCACCATGGACGGGGGAAACCTAAAGGAAGTAGTCTCTTCCACCTACCACTCACCTAGTCAATATTGTTTCAGCTACAGGTGGCACAGATGAAGATGTCAAATTCGGAATTGGGAAAGCAAGACAGGTCTTCATTAACCTGAAACTAGTGTGGACATCTGCAGTCAACATAAAACGTGAACAAGAGGCGGATCTTCAACACTCACTTCAAGTCAGTACTTCTATGTGGCTCATACTTGGAGCATCATGTAAGGCATTTCCAACAAATTACAGACATTTGTAGGGATGTGTGTGTGCTACTATCCCGTAACGTTTGACCAACCCCACTTAACTTGATGTGCTCTGGTACCTGCTTAACAAGTACCTTACCTAACATGTAAGTACTGATAAAGAAACACCAATCGAAAGGATTGGTTCCATAACATATTTGAAGTAGCAGTGTAGTTAATTACAGTAAATGTAATAGTAATGAATGGGGGAAACGTTATTTCAACTTATCTGGCTGGTGTGGCTGAGCTAGGGACTCTGAGTACGTGAGTGATAACCAGCACTAAGGAAGTGCAAAATAGCGTCCAAGAATGCGGAGATGCATGCTCGTTAAAACAAAACTTAAAACACCTGAAGCATCCGGAGGCGAGCTGCAGGTCTACTTAGTTAATTTAATTTAATCTATTTATTTTATCCCTAGTTGTATTTTGATGCCGGGAAGGCGCACTACGCATTCATCAACAGCTACCCACGCTCACTCGGTACTGTAGATCAGATGGCCAGAAAGAATAAGCAACAAGGAATTCTGGCTGATTGGCAACGAACCAACCAAGAACCCATCACCCAATAAATATGCTGCAGAAAGTGGAGACTGACTGGACTGGTCATACCCCGAGGAG